CGTGACGCCGAATGAATTTTTGTGTTAAGTGTTCATAAAACAATCTTACAGAAGTTGTTGCGTTGAATTAAACGGTTTTAACAAACCTTATAGTCAGTGTTGGGAAGGTTACTTTGGAAATGTAAACGGTAAATGTAAATCTAAAAGTGTAACTATTTCAATTACTTTTAAAATAATGTAACTAATTACTTTTTCTGAAACTGATTACAATTACATTTATTTTGTAATTAAATTATGTAATTTTGTTGCGTGTAACTAGTTACTGCCTTGCGCTGCTTATAGTTTTGAATCGTGCATGAAGCCCAGTGTCTGTTTGAACAGACTGTGAAGCCACTTCAGATTAGCATGAAATGTTTGTCAAAGGGCTAAAAATAACACAAAAAAGTCAAAATCCCCTAGTCCCAATTTTCATGCATTGTGTAGTAGAACATAAAATTAGTTTTCCTAAACCATTTCACAGTAAAAAATCAATCTCTGTGCAGTTATTCCGTGCGTAATGCAAGATTATTTTAAAGCCTGGAAATCCATGGAAACTCCACATAAACTTAATATCTCACTGTCACTTTCTGTCTGCACTCTCACCTGTCCAGTTTAAACTTGTTCTTTGTAGTTGACTTGACTCGGGTTCTTCATTGAAACTTCACGATCCCTGTTGATTGCCCAACAGGTCGAGGAAGCAATGCTACTTAATGAAATAACATGTAATTTATTCTGTACTTCTGACCAGAGTGCAGTGGGGGTGAAGGAAGCCAAGGTAAGACCCAGCAGAGCAAACACATTTATTCATGTTTTTATCCAAAAGAAACGCTCTCTCAAATTCTCAGCTGCTTCCATTTCTGTCACGTTTTTTTTTCTTTTTTTTTCGGATAAATCGACGTGCTGAATGCTTAAGGCATTTGTTTGGCGTGTTTGTGTAGCTCTCTGCTCGCTGTGTCAGAATGAAGGTGTACACAGAAGAGGAAAGCTGAATAATTGACTAATGCCAAAGGGGAACATCAGGCTGGTTTTGTGCTGTACTCAGCTCCCAGTCTTCATTTGACCCTCAGTCTGGCTTTGTTTTGGTTTTGTTTTTGCTCTGTCTTTCACGTCACATTTTTCTGGTCAGAAGGGCACAAATCTTTAAAAAATAATAAAAATAACATTCAAATATCAGTGGATAACCCTAGTCAATAAGCTCCCCACAGAAGGAGATATCAAAGACGCTTCTCTGCTCTGATCTTCCTCTAGTTTAAGTTTCTCATCTTTCCTCTTTTCCCTCTTAATAACTGGGCTCCACTCTTGTTTCGATGATGTCTTGCTGTACTCTTGCCTTCTTCGTGCTTTAGAGGGGAATGAGGATTTGCTGTGTCACACCTTCGTCTCTGTGATTGTCCACTTCCTGTAAGTGCCTGTGTTACTGAGCTCGATGCCCCTCCCCTTCCTGTCGTTGCAGCCCGAGGACATCGGCTCTGCGCCCATCATCAACGCACCAGAGGGGAGCAAAGTGGACATCGAAGCCTTCAGTCAGTTTACAAAAATTATCACCCCCGCCATCACTCGTGTTGTGGATTTTGCCAAAAAGCTGCCCATGTTCTGTGAGGTAAGAACGGCGTACCATGCATCAAACACAGGGAATGAAACTGAGCGGTTGGTCAATGTGGGTCGATGCACGGTGGCCGAGAGAGTTTTTTCGCAAATGAAAAAACACACGTGCAAATTAAGAAAACATCTTCATCAGTTTGACAACGCGTGCGCGCGCTGCAATGCTCACAACACAACCAAACAAAGAAGAGACCACTTCGGAAAGGTTTAAGGGAACCGCAAAGTGACGAACATGACTGGGACGTGTTTATCAATGTTTGCTCTGAAAGCTGAGATTTTTAGTTTTTTTTAACATCTTGATCACACGATTCCTTAGCTGTTTTTTTATTTAATTTTTTATATTATTAGCCTAAATAAGCTGTCGAAATACACAATTACTGTAAATGTGAAACGTAAGCTGGCTAGCTTTTACAACTTCCCTTAAAAAAATTAACCGTAGCCTGTGGTTTTAATAAATTAATGAATACATTAATATTAGTGCTGTCAAACGATTAATCGTGATTAATCGCATCCAAAATACAAGTTTTTGTTTACGATATGTGTGTACTGTGTATATTTATTATGTATATATAAACACACACACATACAGTATATATTTAAGAAAAATATGCTATGTTTAATATTTATATATAAGAATATAAATATTTACATGTAAATATTTTCAAAATATATACATGCATGTGTGTGTGTTTATATATACATAATAAATATACACAGTACACACACATACAGTATATCATGTAAACAAAAACTTTTATTTTGGATGCGATTAATCGCGACTAATCGTTTGCCAGCACTAATTAATATATAAAATTTTTTTTTACAAAATATGGTTACTATAGTTAAACCATGCACAAATTAACCACGGAGTTACTACACTAACCATACTTTTGGTATTTGTATAACTGTGGTTATACAAATGGTAATAAATGCGCCAAAAAAACGTGGTTAATTTTCGTTTTGTTGTGGTCCGCGCTACTTGCGCATTTCTCTATTTGTTTGTGTTGTAAGTATTTGCAGTGTGTTTCTTTATTTGTTTGTGTTGTGCTGTCAAACTGATGAAGATGTTTTCTTGATTTGCTGCTGCTTTTTCTATTTGCATGTGTTTTCTGAAGTTGCAGCGCGTTGAGCTCTCTTGTCCACTGTATCGATGTGCTGTAGAACAGATTGATCAAAGCAGAAAATGCATCAAAGTGAGGAAATTAAATCATTTAAAGAAGAGATTACATGTTTGGATACACACCAGCACATATGATGACTGATTAATGTGTAATGTGTGTCCTTGTTCAGCTGCCTTGTGAGGACCAGATCATTTTGCTGAAGGGCTGCTGTATGGAGATCATGTCTCTGCGAGCGGCGGTGCGATACGATCCCGAGAGCGAGACTCTGACGCTGAACGGGGAGATGGCCGTCACACGGGGCCAGCTCAAGAACGGGGGTCTGGGCGTGGTCTCCGACGCCATCTTTGATCTGGGTGTCTCGCTGTCCTCCTTCAACCTGGATGATTCGGAGGTGGCGCTGCTGCAAGCCGTGATCCTGCTTTCCTCCGGTCAGTGCCATCTTCACTTTCAGTCAAATCATTCATTCTTTTTCTTGTCCGTCATATTAGGGTAAAATATGTTCACACAATTACCAGCTCATTTAAATATAATTGCAAAAATCTCCATCTCTCTGCTCTTCTTCATGAGTTTCTTGTTCCAGTGAAAAGTCCTAAGAATGTCACATGGTCCAAAATTCCAAATGATGCAGGCAAATGTCGAGTTGTCTGTGAATTCTATTTCTGCCGATGAAAAAAAAAAAAAAAAAAGGGAATTGCGACTTTTTTCTCAGAATAGCATGATATGCTAACCTTGTAATTGAGTTATAAATTCACAATTGCGAATTATACAGTCAGAATTGCAGGATATAAAGACAGAATTGCTAGATACTGCTTAGAAAGTCAGAATTGTGATATAAAAATGTGATATGAAAAATTCTGACTTAATTTCTTACAATTCTGACTTTTTTCTTGCAATAGAGCGTTTATACAGCATCTCACAATTATGACTTCTTTTCTCAGAATTGTGTGAAATAAACAGGCCATTGTGTATTATAAAGAAAAAAGTCAGGTTATATCTCAATTCTGACTTTATAACACACAATTATGAGTTTATATCTTTCAATTCTGAGAAAAAAAATTCAGATTTGCGAGATGTAAACTCGCAATTGAGAGAGAGAAAAACAAGTCTGAATTGTGAGATAAAAAGTCGCAATTACCTTTATTTTCATTCAGTGGCGGAAACCAGCTTTCATAGTTGTCTTCTTTGGATTTCTACTTACAAAATATTGGCTAATGGTCAATTGGGTTAAAGCACATTTACGTGGCACCTTCATAATCAAAACATGACCAAATTGCAATAAATATAAGAATATCTGATCTCACGTTATTTTAAGGTCCAATTATTAACAAACCATTAACTACAACGTTTGCCTCAATAAACTATTGATTTGCTGCTTATTAATAATTAGTAAGTTAGTTGTTAAGTTTAGGTATTGGGTAGGATTATGGATGTAGAATATGGTCATGCAGAATATGTGCTTTTTTAGCACTAATAAACAGCTGATATGTTAATAATAGGCATGCTAATAGGGAACTAGTTAACAGTGAGAATTGGTCCCTATTAGGGCTGCACGATAAATCGAAATGGAATCGAGATCGCGATTCAACAGAAGCTGCGATTGTCATGCGTATCTTTCAGTGAAGCACGGTTCTGTGATCAGCAGTAAACACACGACTACGGCAATATACGGTTTATCTGAGTTCTTATTATTATAATTTTCATTAAAATAAAGTATATAATAATGCAATGCCTTTATCACTGCTTAAATACTATGAAATATGTTGCGTGCCTTATTCTGTGTACATCATCTCACAGAAGGATTTATTTCAAACACTCTGCTGACGTTATGAAGTGAGTTTGGAGCAAAAAATATGTTATTAAATGTGGTATTTTCACATGCTTTCAGATGGAGCAGCATTTACTTCACAGAGCCATAGTTCATTGAGAAGCTATGCAAACAGCTTTCATTATCGTGAACGATTTCTTCGATTTCAGAATCTCGCAATAAAATCGTCTGCGATTTGTTTGCGTAGCTTGTCAGTGAGCTACGACTCTGTAGTAAATGCTGCTCCATCTGAAAGCACGTGATGATGATTCCCTGCTGATTACAGAAACGGCATTACTATCAAAATGCGCATGACAATCGCATTCGATTAATCGTGCAGCCCTAGTCCCTATGCTAAAGTGTTTCCGAATATCCTTATGCATGCAAATGCAGTCAGAGAGAGAAGCATGCATGTCTTAAAGAAGGATGTACTATAACTAAAATAGTGAAAAAATCTTATGAACTACTAGATCTGGTGAACCTCATAAAGCAGAGTCTTTGCTCTCCTTCATGAGCGATTAATGCCGGTGTCAGTACTAGCCGTGACTTCCACCAGGAGTCTGTTTAAAAGCTATTAGGCCAGCTGCAGCGGCTGTTCCTGAGTGCGATTACCCAGGATTACACAGGCCACTGAGGGGAAACCTCTTAATAACGCTATTAAAACAGGATTACACTTCAACTGAGAATGTCCCGATCAATAGGTAAAGACGTCAGTGCCCAAGTCCAGTCCTGTACAGATCTGTTATCGATTCCTGTTTAAACATATTGTCCAGTGTTACAGCTGGGCAAACCTGATCAATGACCATAGTGTCATTTTTTTTGATAATTAACTAGTTGTCATAAAGGTCTTTCTGATCTTTTTTTGCATTAACACATGGAATGTTTCTAGTACTGTAACAAATCAGCTGTTATTGGTCATGCAAAAACTAATAATAGCTAGATTGCAATGGTCTCTTCTAATTCTACATGGATTTTTTTTCAAGTGTTGAATTTCAATAGCAGGCTAGTGGCACAGATTTGCAGTCAGGCGAAGGCAACAGTTGTTTAGTATTTAAAATGTGGTTGTATACGGGCCAAACTTCCCTCTTTTCTATGCCATTGAGGCTCATTATAGAATGTGCTGGATTCATTCATTTCAGTGCCACTGAAAGCTGGCAGTCAACAGGGTTTTACAAACAGTAATTTTAGACTGGCTTTTTAAACTTTGTGTACAGAAATCTAGAGTTGCCTTCGTCTTTCACCAGTTTTGGCCACATTTAAGCAGTGTTGGGAAGTTGACTTTGTAAATGTAATAGGTTACAAATTACAAGTTACACTATTTAAAATATAATATGTACTGTTACTATTTCAATTAATTTATTGAAGTAATGTAACTGATTACATTTTATTACTTTTTGGTTACTTTTTTACATTTCTGATGAATGTTTGAGACGTTTAAAGCAGGCAGGTTTAACCTTACAGTAGTACTCAATAATGATTACTGTCAGATTTCTCAGAATCCTTCATCACTTGAATTAATTAAAATTAATATTACATTTTAAACCACAGCCACCACAAAATCAGACTTTAGCACCTCTTTTTACTTTTAGGTCATTCTGAGGTTAAATACAGATTTACGATCATAATCATAACAAGAAACAGTTCAATAGCTATGATACTGTTTTTAATATCAAATGTTTGCATAGATATGACAGGAAACACTGGCATCTAACAATGCTATGGAAAAAAACTGTTAAAGATAAAGCATATTCATAAACCCAAATAGGAAATATAAAGTTATCGAGAAAGCATATTCTGTGTCCTAAACTCCTGAAACATTGGTTACTTATATTTTTGAGCAGTCAATGCAATTTGGTAAATAAATCAATGTGTGTGTGTGTGTGTGTGTGTGTGCGCGCATGCATGCGTGTATGCGTGCGTGTGTGTGTGTCTGTCTGTCTGTCTGTCTGTCTGTCTGTCTGTCTGTATGTGTGTATGTCTGTGTGTGTGTATGTGTGTGTGTGTGTGTGAGTGTGTGTGTGTGTGTGTGTGTGTGTGTGTGTCTGTCTGTCTGTCTGTCTGTGTGTGTGTGTGTGTGTGTGTGTGTGTGTGTGTGTGTGTGTGGTTCAGGTGTACGCTAAGTTATAGGGACCAAATGTGTGGCAATATCCAAAATCCTTGTATTTGTAGGGATATTTTTTGGTCCCCATGAGGAAACAAGCTTATAAATCATACAAAATGAAGTTTTGAAAATCTAAAATTGCAGAAAGTTCCCTGTGAGGTGTAGGTTTAGGGTAAGGCGATAGAAAATACAGTTTGTAGAGTATAAAAATCATTACACCTATGGAATGAACCCATAAAACCCAACCTGTGTGTGTGTGAAAATATTCAGATGTTACAGCGTTGCTCTTTGTAACTGCAATTTAATTACACATTTTTCTCAGTAACTGTAACAGACTACAGTTGCATTTATTTTGTAATTAAATGACGTAATACTGTTATATGTAACTAGTTACTCCCTAACACTGCGTTTAAGTAGGACACAGTCAGTGCAAATTGTGATTAACACAAATTTTGTGGGCATATTTGCAGCATATTTACATGATTACATGAAGCGGGTGTTAAAGGGTTAGTTCACCACAAAATTTTCATTAATGTTTTCATTCAAATTTTCACATTTTTTTATTCATCATTTACTCACCCTCATGTTGTAAGACTTTCTTCTGTGGAAAATAAAAAAATATATTTTGAGAAATGTGTTTTGTTTGTCCATACACTGGAAGTTAATTTTTACTTTTGTGTGAACTACCCCTTTAAAACATCATGTAAATAAATGCTATCAGCAGGCTGGTCTTTACACTAATATTTTTCTTCTGGAAGTTGAATGACTCAAAATAGAATAGGAAAAATAATGATAAAATCACAAGGCATCACCTTCAAGCCCTTGCTTTATTTAACAAGTTAGTTCACACAAAAATGAAAATTCTGTCATTAATTACTCGCCCTCATGTCGTTCTAAACCCGTAAGACCTTTGTTCATCTTCAGAACACAAATTAAGATATTTCTGCAGAAATCTGAGAGCTCTCTGACGCTCCCATAGACAGCAAGGATCCTTACACGATCAAGGCTCAGAAACGTAGCAAGGACATCGTTAAAATAATCTACGTGATATCGGTGGTTCAACCGTAATATTATGAAGCTACGAGAATACTTTTTGTGTGCAAAGAAAACAAAAATAACGACTTTATTCAACAATTCGTCTCATCCGCGTCACCATATAGTGCCATTTTGGAGAGTATCACATACGTAAGCAACGTATGTACGCGGATACGTTAGTTTACGTTCAGATCAAAGCATAAACAACATAAACAGCGTGTGATGCAGCTGACACAGAACAGCTTACACTGTTTACGTATGTGATACTCTCCTAAAATGGCGCTATATGGTGTCAAAAATAATGACTTTATTCAACAATTCGTCTCCTCCGCGTGGAGGAGACGAATTGTTGAATAAAGTCATTATTTTTGTTTTCTTTGCGCACAAAAAGTATTCTCGTAGCTTCGTAATATTACGGTTGAACCCCTGATGTCACATGGATTATTGTCCTTACATGGACACGATGTCCTTGCTACCTTTCTGAGCCTTGATCGTGTAAGGATCCTTGCTGTCTACGGGAGGATCAGAGAGCATCTTAGATTTCTTCAGAAATATCTTAAATTGTGTTCCGAAGATGAACGAAGGTCTTACGGGTTTAGAACGACGTGAGGGCGAGTAATCAATGACAGAATTTTCATTTTTGGGTGAACTAACCCTTTAAATGGTTTGAATGCATTTTGAAATCAAACTCAGGCGTCCTCTTTTCCCCTTTTTTTTCGCCGACAGATCGTCCAGGTTTGACGAGCGTAGAGCGGATAGAGCGCTGTCAGGAGGAGTTCCTCTTGGCCTTCGAACATTACATCAACTACCGCAAGCACAAGGTGGCTCACTTCTGGCCCAAGCTGCTGATGAAGGTGACAGACCTGCGCATGATCGGTGCCTGCCATGCCAGCCGCTTCCTGCACATGAAGGTGGAGTGTCCCACGGAGCTCTTTCCGCCCCTCTTCCTGGAAGTGTTCGAAGACTGACAGCCAACCAGTCAGGCCAAGCTGCTCCCACCAACACGACCTCCACAGATCCGACCTCCCTCAGACTCCATCTCCCTGTTCCCGGTCACAAGACTCTGTTCCCGGTCACATGACTCTTTTCTAGCACTACTGAGCGTCATTTCATTCCACAGTTTTAGGAGAAGCTCTCTGGCCTATTTTGAATGGAACCATTCCTTTTACAAAGCGGGTACATGTGAATAGCGTTACAGTTTTTTTCTTTCACTCTTTGTAAAAAGAAAAATCAGCTTTCTGTTACTCTAGTTTTTTTCCCCCCCCCCAATGTTAAATAGTTTTATTTCTGATCGTAGTCTTTGATGCCACTTAACGGAGATGTATGAACTATGCATCCGGGGTTCGTGTCACACGTCAGGCCTCAGAAAGGAGACAAAGAACACCATACTGCGAAGGAGGACCGCAATGTTTGGTTTCCTTTCACGTCCCTTATCTGTTGGTCTAAAGGTCTTTTCATTCTCACATTAAGCCATAGATTGTTTATAGTTCTGGTCCAAACCCTAAGTGAGCTGCCTACCTAGACAACATTTCAAGACAGAATAGGAACATCCTTATATTGAGACAAACGAGGGCTCTTGAGTATCGCAATTGTGTTTTCTAGACAAGATCACTACATGGAAAGCAAATTGTGACTTAACCCAGCAGGTACAGGGCATCAGTATAACGTCAGGTTGACGTCACATTTTGGTTGAGAATGAAAATCGTGTTGACGTCAGTATTTGACACCAATTTGACGTTGACTTAACGTTGGATTTTGGTTACACAACCTAAAAACAACAAATATCAACGTCAGCTGATATCGGTATTGAACATCAAATTAACATTTACATTAGACACTGAATTGACATTGAATTTTGGTCACCTGACATCGCAACCGAAATTTAACCAAATATCAGCGTCTTGCGACGTTGTGTGCCTGCAGGGAAATGTTCCTGCTGCTCTTGAGAGTGAAATCAGAGTAATATTACATCTCACTGCTCTTCACATTCATTTTATCGCTCTGTACTCTTGTGCATTTGTATCTCGTGTTTTCTCTGACATTTTAGGAGAAACATCTGGAAAAAATTTTTAGAAACCCCTGAGAATTTCAGAAAGCAACCTCAGAGCAATAAAATGGCCATGTGAACAGTAGGCATAAAATTATACTGCCTTCTAATGTCAGGATTTTCAACATTGTCGGATCGCTGTTTCTTTCACACTACTGTACACAACTGTTTTTTTTTTATTTGCTGGGTTCATACATTGCACAATATTTCATTAGGAAGAATCTCAAACAAAGCGTATCATTTACTAAATGCATGCATGAGAAGTGATACAGAGAATGATCTCTCATTGGCTGTAGGTCGTCGCTGATGTCATTTCCAGTCAAAACATGCTGCAAGACGCAGAGGCTGCGTTCCAGTTCATTTTTTATGCCCTTCACTCGCTAACTTCCCTCGGATATCATTGATTTCGTTGCATGAGTGCCCACTTCTGGCGGGCTGAACTGGAATGTCCTAAACCCTTGATCACTTAAAATCCGCTATGGAGTCGAATTATTGAAAAATCAGCTTTCAATAATTGCTGAAAACGATGACGCCATATTCGTGTTGCATTATGGTCTGTGGAGCGGCCTAAAGTGTCAAAGCCACTAGAAGGCAAGCCTGCAACCATTAGCCGAAAAAGAGTGATGGCTAAAGCTAACGCTTCTGGTCTGGCAGTACGTGGGAAATGAGACCAGAGGCCATTTTTTTTAATGAATGAATGTCACTTAAAGAGTCTTCACTACGATGAATAAACAGCTTTTTAGAGGAAACGGCTTATCATTTAATGAATCGACAGCCTATCTGCTAATGTTCAACATGTTTTATACTAAACAGTACTTTTTAACAATTTTTAGACTTTACCATGAAAAAATGCTGTTTTATAAAAGAAGTCACTGACTTTTTGATTCATCTTACGGCACTTCCCATTCATTCCTTTGGGATCCGTAAACGGCGACTGAGTGTCGCACAACTCTGACTGAAATTCAATGACGTCAAGGCTGTAATGTGATTGGTTATTAAAGGGTTAGTTCACCCAAAAATTAAAATTAGGCTGCGTTTTACTCACCCCCGAGGCATCCTAGGTGTATATGACTTTCTTCTTTCAGATGAATCCAGTCGGAGTTATATTAAAAATTGTCTTTGATCTTTCAAGCTCTATCATTGCACTCAGCGGGTGTTGCATTGCTTCAGTCCAAAATAAGTTAAATAACAAGTGCCCATCCATAAAAAAAAGTGTCTCACACGGCTCCGGGGGGGGAACAAAGGCCTCCTGTAGCGAATCGATGCATTTTTGTAAGAAAAATATCCATATTCAAAACGTAATAATCACTTGAATGTAGCTTGCGCTCACTGTTGTACACAGAAGCAGCTCCGGGCGGATGACGTATGAGGTCAGCTTCGCACATGCGCCGCTCAGAAGTGACGAACGCGGAAACGCAGCGGAGAGATCAAAACAAAACACCGGTCACTTATTAGAAGTACAAAACGAGGATTTGTAAAGAAGAATGTCAGAGGATTTCGATATGTCAAGAGGAGACAGGTTTTCCTTTGCTAAAGTGAGGAAACTTTGCTTCCTTTGATCCTATAAACAAACAGTGGTTTTCACGAGACTCACCAGCATACGTCATCCTCCCGGAGCTGCTTCCATTTACAACAGTGAGCGCAAGCTACATTCAAGTGATTATTACGTTTTGAATATGGTTATTTTTCTTACAAAAACGCATTGATTCGCTACAGGAGGCCTTTGTTCACCCGCCGGAGCCGTGTGAGACACTTTTTTTTATGGATGGGTGCTTTTTATTTAACTTCTTTTGTACTGATGCATGCAACACCCGCTGAGTGCCATTAAACAGCTTGAAAGATCAAAGACCATTTTTAATATAACTCCGACTGGATTCGTCTGAAAGAAGAAAGTCGTATACACCTAGAATGCCTCGGGGGTGAGTAAAACGCAGCCTAATTTTCATTTTTGGGTGAACTAACCCTTTAAGGCACACTTGATCAGAGTTAGCCGTTACGCTTTCTCCAACAGTAGTCACACTAGACTTTTCGTTCCATTGACTTCCATTCATACGCATGCGAATGCGTCAGACTAGAAACGCAAGCCCGTGCGAAGATATTTCGCTGTATAGCAAAGTTCATGTTTGGTGAGCTCTGACCTGCAAATTCATGTCACGTGAATGCGTGAGACCAATAGAAGATCAAAATGTCACAAAGTGACCTCTCGGTACAGAAATGGAGGAATCGCTAATGTTAGCAGTGTCGCATCATCCTGCTTTATACAACACAACTTTAAAAGATTACAAAAATCACATAAAAAGAGTAGCGGCTTGGTTTGCGGTGGCAAGGGAAACAGGAGCGGATGGTACGTTTGAACTGTGAAACATAATTTTATGTGATTTTTTTTATTACATGAGATTTGTATGTGTGCGTGTGTGTACTTGATTAACTAGACTGATTGTACTCACTTAAAGGGTTAGTTCACCCAAAAATGAAAATTCTGTCTTTAATTACTCACCCTCATGACGTTCCAAACCCGTAAGACCTTCGTTCATCTTCGGAACACAAATTAAGATATTTTTGATAGAATCTGAGAGCTGTCTGACCCTGCATAGACAGCAACGCAACTGAAATGTTCCCAGGCCCAGAAACGTAGCAAGGAGATCTGTAAAATAATCCATGTGACATCAGGGGTTCATCCGCAATTATACGAAGCTACAAGAATACTTTCTGTGCGCAAAAGAAAAAAAAAATTATGACTTTATTCAACAATTCGTCTCCTCCGCATCACCCTGGTGCCATTTTGGAGAATATCACATACGTAAACAACTTATGCTGTTCTGTGTCAGCTGCGTCACACGGATACGCTGTTTCCGTTCAGATCAAATCACAACAACGTAGGAAACAGATCCGGCGTATGAACGAAGGTCTTACGGGTTTGAAACTATATGAGGGTGAGTAATTAATGACAGAATTTAAATTTTTGGGTGAACTAACCCTTTAAATAGAAAATAATTATGACTAGTGAGGATATTTTGGCGCATGATGTCATATCCTGCTCCCGCCCCTTTTCGCAGCACCGTCCGAATGAATTTCGCATCCTCAAAGTCTAGTGTGACCACGGCTTAAGTAATACAGACCCTCTCATCTCCCTATAGTAAGACAATCTTTGTGAAGTGTGCATATGAAGCAGACTCGCACCCTTGGTCAAAATCAAGGGGTCGAGGCGGGTCTGTTTATATAAACTTCCCTCATCCACTTCACCAAGTGGAACGCACTTCAGAATGGCGGTGGGAATTCCCCCGAGGGGATGTGCTTAGGGAAGTTCACCAGTGCGTGTTTAAAAGTGGAGTGGAACGCAGCCTGAGTCACAGATAATTAGCCTGCTAAACAGTTTTTGGGCATTGACAATACATCTGTGCTTCTCTCAAATCACATCTTTGATAACACACTATGCGATCATCGCTCATGTGATCGAGCACCGATTTGCCTCACATTTCAGACATTTGTGAGTGATCTCCAGAAAACCTGGAGTCGGCCTAAAATCGTGTAGCTTATACCTTGCATAAGATACCTTTTTTTTGTCCAAATTCCAAGGCATTATTGCATTTGTGATGCGTCCTTTGTTGTGTTGCCTGCATATGCTTTTTTCAAAGCAGCTCACTGGGTTTTGGAATCAGAACAGTTTTCTTAAAAAAAATAAAATAAAAATGGCAAGGTGTTCAGATCAAATCACAACAACGTAGGAAACAGATCCGGCGTATGAACGAAGGTCTTACGGGTTTGAAACTATATGAGGGTGAGTAATTAATGACAGAATTTAAATTTTTGGGTGAACTAACCCTTTAAATAGAAAATAATTATGACTAGTGAGGATATTTTGGCGCATGATGTCATATCCTGCTCCCGCCCCTTTTCGCAGCACCGTCCGAATGAATTTCGCATCCTCAAAGTCTAGTGTGACCACGGCTTAAGTAATACAGACCCTCTCATCTCCCTATAGTAAGACAATCTTTGTGAAGTGTGCATATGAAGCAGACTCGCACCCTTGGTCAAAATCAAGGGGTCGAGGCGGGTCTGTTTATATAAACTTCCCTCATCCACTTCACCAAGTGGAACGCACTTCAGAATGGCGGTGGGAATTCCCCCGAGGGGATGTGCTTAGGGAAGTTCACCAGTGCGTGTTTAAAAGTGGAGTGGAACGCAGCCTGAGTCACAGATAATTAGCCTGCTAAACAGTTTTTGGGCATTGACAATACATCTGTGCTTCTCTCAAATCACATCTTTGATAACACACTATGCGATCATCGCTCATGTGATCGAGCACCGATTTGCCTCACATTTCAGACATTTGTGAGTGATCTCCAGAAAACCTGGAGTCGGCCTAAAATCGTGTAGCTTATACCTTGCATAAGATACCTTTTTTTTGTCCAAATTCCAAGGCATTATTGCATTTGTGATGCGTCCTTTGTTGTGTTGCCTGCATATGCTTTTTTCAAAGCAGCTCACTGGGTTTTGGAATCAGAACAGTTTTCTTAAAAAAAATAAAATAAAAATGGCAAGGTGGCATGTCAGTCTTGATGGTGGTTGTGCCCTTGAGTAAAATCCTGTTTCTTTATTAGTGCGCCTAAAAGCTTTTGGACAGGCAGACCTTAGTTAGAGTGCACGTAATGATGAAATTCATAAAAGTTTTTTCTCCATCAACTTTTAGCCCTTAAAGAAAAGATAGCCTCAAGCCAGCAGCCACTAACATTAGCTCATTATGCCTCTATTAAGGTGCCAAAAACCTCCATACAAAATCCGTACTCTGTTAGGTCTTGTGTCGAGCTGCTCGGAGGAACTTGAGGTCATGAGTTTTTACCCATCCGTCGCTAGATCCTTTGACCCGCAGGGATGCAACTCTATTCAGCTGAACGCTTCTTCTCTTCTATAGCTGTCACACGATAGACCAAGGCAATGCTTCTGCTTGAACTTGTTGGTGCTATGAGTTTGCCGATTTATACCTCCGGGAGTGCTGCCAGTTATCGTCTGGGTGATTGACGAGCACAAATACACAAAACGCTGAGGTCAGTGGTTAACCCTGCAACAAACAGGGATGCTTTCGGATGCGTCTGTGATAGTTGTTTCAGCCTGGTTTTACTTCTTTTACTGTAGTTTTTAATCTTTCTAGAGACGTCCTTGTGTGCTGCAAGAGAGTTTGAATCTCACATACCTCTACTGATTATCAGGAACCGCCAGAACTGTTTTTTTTTTTGCTGTTGAAAGATGGACATGAATTCAGATTCTCACCTCAAAACGCAGAGCATGTTCAATCAGTGTTTTGTTGTAGTGATGCCTTTTGTAAGCAATAGAATTGCTCCAGTGGTTTTACATGTTGTGGATTACACAAACGTACATGCCAACGTAGATATTCAACAGACTCAAAGTCATTGCACAGACAATCAATGTGTTCGCAGAGTGTTATAGAAAGAGGGAAGTAAGGGCCACAGCCAGGGTCCAAAATGAATACTTTGCCTCACCTGTCCGTTTACTCCTCGCCAAGCTCCTCACCACCTTGGTTATGCTGAGAAATCAAACATGCCCATGCTAAATTAGTGTTTTACTAATTTTACTAGTTTGTATATATTTGATTTTAATTTCTCACACACGTGTGAGATTCAGAATATATGTGTTTACAGTTCGATTTAAATCATGCATTATGTGTGTTGTCTTATGTACTTGACAAAGCCAAGTTTTGTGTCTTTTCTTCATGTCAGCACTTGACAAATGCTAATTTTGGACCCTGGCCACAGATCAACACATGCATGCTCAGACACGCTGGGAGTCAATACTATTTCCTCTGAGCGCACAGGTTAAAAAATAAAATAAAATTAAAAAAAACAAACGCACTACAAAAATAAAGATATTTATGGTGTAAAGGAAAGAGGCTGTATTTTTCCAGACCGCAGATATTTTTTACATGTTATATGCACAATATGAACACTTTTGAGCAGTTTTACAACAAGGAAAC